GGGAATATTTTCCCCCCAAATGGCTCAAAATTAGATGCTGTCAATTATTAATATTTACTATTGATTTATCTTTTAGTTAAAGAGCAGTTATTCCTAAACCAGCTGTATACCCAAATCACCACACAGAGACTAGGAATTATTTAATTCACCTAGAGCAAAATTCTGGGCAATAGTTACTGCATCCTAAACCTCTAAGCATGCAAAGTTTCCTCCCAGTCAGATTTCACCCATTATACTTGCTTTGAGTCATATCTTAGGTCCAGTTCATCTCTCTTCCTGGTTCCAAGTCCTGCTCATCTCTGCTCTCCTCCCACTCACTTTCTTCTCTTCCCCTCTGGACCAGAATGTCCCACCCTATTCTCTCCATTGCTCAGCTTTGTGGCTGGTTGTTTTATTGACAATATAAAGAACAAATGGTGGTATGTTTACACACACTTGAGACAGGTGATGCTTAGAATAAACATCACAATGCAGTGTCTGGATTGAAGCCAGATAGTGGGGGAGAGAAATCAGCATTTGAATGAACAAGGGTAAGTTGTATGCATTCCACAAGAACATTATACCAACAATTAGATTTGGTGGAAAATACTTTTGAGACAGGGTTTCTCTGAATAGCTCTTGGTAACACAGAATTTACTATGCAATTTGGGCAGCCTTAAATTTGTTGCAATTTTCCTCCACTATGCTTGATTAATTTCTTTTTTTTAGATCAGGTTATACTGTATGGACCTGGTTGGCCTGCTGTGTGCCACTTTACCCAGCAAGTGTCAGAGCCCTTAAGCACAGCGCTCCACATTGAACATACATGCAGGAATATCAGTTGCGGCTATTTTACCTTATTTTATCTGTGTTTTTAGTGCATGTATATATGTGTGTGCACACACAGGAGTCAAAGTTGGAAGTCTGATGTCTTCCTCAGTCACTTCTCCACCCTATTTTTTTTTCAGACACTAGTCTCTTACCAAACCTGGTACTTGTTGATTTGGCTAGACTAGCTGGTTAGGCTCCCCAGTCCTAGAATCTGAATTGATATCCTTGTACCTATGTGACAATCACTCTACCCACTGAGCCTTCTTCATAGCCCATTTTATTTTCTGATAAAAGGTCTCCTGTTTTCTAGGTTGGCTTTGAATTTGGTATGTGGCTGAAGATGACTTGGAGCTTCTGGTCCCCCTGCCTCCACCTTCGAGTGCTAGAATTACAGGCATTTGTCACCAATCCTATTTATGTGATACTGAGGACTGAAACCAGGGTATCCTGCATATCAGGCATGCACCCTAATAAACTGAGCTATATCTCTAGCCTAAACAAAGTTCTTCTACATATCAGATATTATGCTGGTTCCTAGAGAAATAAGACTAAGAAACCACAGATGAATGCTTGACCTCAATGGGTTTACAATCTAGTGGGGAAGGAAGACAATAATTTTTAGTTACTTATGATTATAAAGTTATAAGTAGAATCAAATACTGTTAAAGAGAGAGGTGTAGCCCATTAGCATCATGGTTGGAAGTATGGCAGCATGCAGGCAGGTATGGTGCTAGAGGAGCTGAGAGTTCCACATCTTCATCCACAGGCAGCAAAAGGAAACTGTGTGCCACACTGGGCATTAGCTTAAGCATATATGACCACAAAGCTGGCCTTGACAGTGACCCTTTTTCTCCCACAAGACACACCTACTCCAACAAATGCCACACTTCTTAATAGTGCCACTCCCCATGGGCCAAGCATTCAAACACACAAATCTATGGGAATTAAACCTATTCAGACCACCCTATACATGGCTGATGAATAAAGCATTTAAGAAGCAGTGGCTGGAAAGGGGACATGCAATGTCTCCATCTCTGAGAAGGCTCTTTGTTTTCTGTTGAAGGTCTGTTGTATAGGATTATAAGCCAAATAGCTGCCATCTTTACTTCTGCTGAGTCTGCTCACAAAAGAGCATCACAGCTAAGCCTACTAACTATTTAACTTTTCTCATAGAAGAAAGGGGCAGGGAAGGTCATGGGACTCTTACTCACGTAGCCAGTCATCTTCCCAAACAGCAGAATGCAATTCTGTCCTATTGCACATGGTCTTGAGGAAGGGGCTAGGGGGTATAGTAGGGATGGATGAGGAGAGCCAACATTCTTGATGGGTGTAGACCTTCCAGTGTGGCTGCTTCCATGCTCCTGTCCTTAGGTTTGTGAGTAAGCATAACTCATTGGTTCCTCTGGATGCACCTTGGAAGAATCACACCTTAGTTTGACGTTGAGTCTTTCAGAGTAGAATAAACACTGCTTACATCTTCCAGTGAAAAGGGTTCTAGTACAGGCTATTGCTTCTTCGATGAGCAAACTTGAATGAATTTTCATCCAAGTTCCATGTTGTGAGCTTTTAGGCTAGAATTTAATATCCAAAAATTATAAAACTAGTGTTTTCTGCTTTCTGGTGTTCACAGCCTCCTCAATGTAAGTCAAACTGTATTTAATTTTTTCCAAATACAACATATTTACAGCTTTCCCTAGCCAATGCCATGAAGTTTCCATTTAGTCTATGTTTATTTCATATTGGTTACTTTGTGAACCAGTAATACAACACACACACGCAGAGAGTTCCAAACACATGCTGTCCATCACCCACATGTTAATATTGATTTAGCTTTTTTACTGTAATTTGTGAAATTAGTAGATGATCCCATTTTACACACATGAGAACTGAGGTCCACATTTAGAAGTCCTAAAATGAAACCAGTTATATTTTGCTAGACCTCTGCCAAACCACTGTACCACAGAATCACAAACCTGACTTTCATTTCTCTACTTTACTCTGTGTTCTTTCAACTGTGCAATGCTTCCACAGTATTTTGAAATTAAAGACATCTTTATTACATGGTAACAAAAGTATAAATATATAAGAAATAATAAGGCGAAGTTGTAATTAAAGAAATGTAAAATTTAAGTCACTAAAGGAAGTTATTGACATCTGATCTATTTTTATTTCTTAAATGTGTATGGCTGTTTTGTCTGCATGTGTTTCTGTGTACCTCATGGGTACCTGGTGCCTACAGAGGCCAGGTAAGGGTGTTGGATCCTCTGAGACAGTTTTGAGCCACCATATGGGTGCTGGGAACTGAACATGGGTCCTTTGGGAGAACAGGCAGTGCCCTTAGCCACTGACCAATCTCCCCAGCCCAGCCAAACACTCTTCAACGAGTCTTCTATTTAAGTCCAATATTATAAATTAGGGTGTGGAGCTCAACTGATAAAGGATAAGGAGATGGCCTGGTGGTTAAGTGCATTTCCTGCTCTTCCAGATGATCAGAGTTCAATTTCCAGCACACAACTACCTGTAACTTCAGCTCCAGGCAATCTTAAACTCTCTTCTGGCCACATGTACACACAAAGACACAGAGACATATTAAATGAACCCTTAAAATAAGGAACTGGATTAAGAGCTTTTCTAAACATCAGAGGTTTGCTAATACAATAAACTGGACCCCATGTCAAAAGGTAGGATTTGAATCTAAGTTTCAAATCTTGTTTTTTTCAAGGCTGATGTAGTGGGATCAGTGAGTTTGAGGCCAGCCTAGGCTATATAATAAGTTCCAAGATAGCCTGGGCTATGGAGTGAGAATATCTCTTAAAATTAAACAAATGAAAAGAAAATAAAATGCCAGCTATTTGAGCATTTGGCAGGTAGAGGCAGGATGATCAAGAGTTCAAGGCTGAACTCATTTCTATTTTTTATTATGAATTGTGTATATTTGGGTAAATCATTTGACTTCTTAGAACCTTCTTCAGTGGTAAAACTTTACTATATACAGCATAGAAAACATGAACATTTCTGGGGCATTATAGAAGTACAGATATTATTAACTTACTTGGGGCCCTAGAGGAGGCCAAAGCCAAAAGAAATAATGCTTCTGACCCTATAAGCAGACCCTTATCAGAACAGCAGTTATATATAATGGAAATTTTTTTATCTGTTGAATTTTCACATTTTTGTATCGTTACAGGTTGTGACATCATTGTATACTATCAATACAAGAAACTGAAATGAGTTGTCCATGGTCAGAGATAATAGAGATAACATTAAAATTTATTTCTACCCTGCCACATACATTTCCCTCTTTAGAATACCTTTGTTTAACATCATTTATGGTGTTCAACTTCAAATTTTTATCTGTAAGTGACTTAGTTTTTCTTTCTATTCTTACAGGTGCAACCACATGGTAGGCCAGCAAGTCCTCAGGAGACAGTGGAGCCTAAGAACACAACAAACGGGACAGTGTGGAGGCTATAGGAAGTCAGTATCCAAGTTGTTTGCCTCTTCCATATAAAGCTAATGACAGGTGTGACTTTAATCCCAGCACTGAGGAGGCTAAAGTAAAAGGATTGCTGTTTGTCTGATGCCAATCTGTACTACAGTGAGTAAGCCAATCTGTACTACAGGTACACAGATACTACACTGACTGGGTTACTTCCAAAAAAAAAAAAAAAATTAAAGCAGGGCTAGAAAGATGACTCAATAGGTAAAGGAACAGAAGAACACATTGTCAAGTTTGACGTCCTGAATCCAATCCCTGGGACCCATATGGTGGAAGGAGAGAACCCACTTTGACAGGTTGTCCTTTGAAATAAATAAATAAAAATATAATAAAAATTGAAAAAATAATAACAAAAAGAAATGAAGACTATGGGAATAAGTTGATTAAATGATTTTGGTTATTTTAAGTATAAAAGAGTTTTAGCCCTATTTGCAAAACTCAAAGGATTTAAGCAAAATATCAAGAGCTAGCATACTTAGTATTAAATTTTATTCTACAGTGTATTTTGTTGTTTGTTTGTTGAAACAAGATCTCATGTAGTCCAGGCTGTGCTCAAACTTTCTATGTAATCTACAGTGGCAGCCTTGATCCTACTCAAGGGTTGATAGTCATGCCTAATATGCCTCACTTTGCTATGTATTTTGGCAGGGACGCCCAGTGAGACGCATTATTGACAAGATAGCTAACTTACTGTTTCCTATTCATGGTGAGGACCTGGTGTTTTTTAATAGCTTGAGATTTTGTCTGCTCTTCCAGTTACTTCACCCTAGAAGAGAAGGGATGATTTGTTATTTTATTGCATGGGAGAGAAGAACTGGGTTTGGTGGTCCTAGCTATTTGTGGTAGGTATTATTTGGCACATCTTTCTAACCACCAAAAATTAACAAGGACGTATTTACTTGAATGCTTCCTTTTTACTGGCATAGACTGTAGGCAGAAGGCTGCTTATGTCTAGTCTCAAGCAGACACATGATCCAGTTGAGCCAATAAGCCTTTTCTCTTTTTAAGGATTAAGAGAGAAGAATAAAGAAAGTCAGTCTAGACAGGAGGCATTATTTGGAGATGGCCATTGCTTTTCTCTGATGAGGACAGAAAAGGGACAATCATCCTGCAGAAAGAAAAATAGAGGTTGAGTCTAATTGGAATTTTTTCAGTTTTTCACGACTTTTTGGATCTCATTTTCAGTCTTTTTCTGGGGCCTAGTGGACATTCTTAACTTCCGTATTATGAGATATCAGTGTATCCTCGTAACAAATGCCCTTATTTTGTTTTTACTAAAGGGAGCATTTGTTTTCTCTTGCATTTATGAAGCATTTTAACCAATACCCTGTTAGTTGTGGTTAATAAGTGTGTAGTGTTGCACAGAAGAACACATAAACTACATGAGAGTCATTCCGCAAGGTGATTTGTTTTTGTTAAAAGGGTGTACGCGACCCCAAAACAAGCACACTTGGCTGAAATGGCCTCTGTTTTTTTTTTTTTTTTTTTTTTTTACCCCTGACACAGTGGGATGATGACTGCATATCATCCTACTGGTAGGAGCTTGACTTCACAATCTGACATGATTGGTTAATCAAAACAAAGAGGAAGGGGGAGGTTCAGTAAAAGAGACTCATTGGTAGATGAAACATGCTGGGGACTGGGAAGATCTCTCAAGCTTGTCGGGGGCATTGATAAACTGCTTAAATCAAGGTGGGGAAAGTGTGAGGATATTTATGCAAAATGGAACAAGTGTGTGTCTCAGTCTTTGTGTGTGTGCGTGCGCGCGCATGCACCTGTGCTGGGAATTCTTCTGTAGGACTTGCTAAAACTCAAAATATGATGTATTTCTGAAGGAAAAAAATACACATGGGAATCTTTTCTGAAACAGTCCTATCATAATTAACAAAAGTCTTGTTATTAAAAATTTTAAACCCCAATTAGAGTTAAACCACTACAAGGATTTAAACTGAAGCCAAACGTTTGATAAGTGATTTCCTAAGAATGAATCTAAGACAACACGAGATCTGCTGCACTTGGCACTTTAAATTGTGCTTCTAGAAGTGATGATCTGTCCCCACTTCTTAGTTCTCCCACGCATCCTCAGTCCCAGGATGTGTCATATACCATTTGAAAGTCGATAAAGACTACACCATTAAGCGCTCCGAGTTCCAGAGAAACCTTTTAGTAAGCCTCGTTACTTTAGAAGCTGGAGTGTAACTTTAAAGTATATCTAAGTGAAAATAAAATATATTCCAGGAGCTGGCTGTGGTGGCACGTACCTGTAGTCCCAGCACTCAGGGAGGCAGAGATAGGCAATCTCTGTGAGTTCGAGGCCAGCCTGGTCTACAAAGCAAGACTAGGGCAGCCAAGGATACACAGAGAAACCCTGTCTCAAAAAAACAACAACAACAAAATTATTCCTGGTCACTTTAAGAGCAATTCTTAAGCTGGTGAGACGGCTCAGCAGGTAAAGGTACTTACTGATTAGCTTGATGACCTGAGTTCAGGGTTAGAACTTACCTGATAAAAGATCCAATTCTTGAATGTCCTCTCACCTCCACACAAGGGCTGTGGCAAGAGCAGGCACAGACACACACAAACACATGCATGTATGCACACACACATACAACAAATTAACAATACATAAATGGGTGCATGTGAAGGTTTTAAAAAAGCTGTTCTTTGAGAAACCCAATATCATAACATGTAATGAATTAGGGAAAGAAAAGAATTTTCTCAACCTAACAGAAGGCCTCCTTGAAAGGCCACAGAGAACTTAATACTTAATGGCAGAGGATTGTAAACTTCTTTCTGAGATCAGGAAGAGACACGATGTTTGTTTTCTTCACTGTCACTGAAAATTGTACAAGATATTCTAGTCAAACCATTATGTAAAAAAAAAAAAAAAAAAAAAAAAAAGGGATCACAACTGAAAAAGGAGGGCATAAAACAATCTCTACAAACTGCATAATCTTGTATGTAGAAAATTCAAACAATTCAACCACAAAACCTCCTGAACTTGTATGAAAGTTCAATAAGGTTCGCACAAAATCAGTTCCCAGCTGGGCATGGAAGCACACGTCCCTGTGTGCTTCAGAAGGCTGAGGCACTAATTTGAGGCCAGTCTGGGCTGCATCTCAAGACTGTTCAAACCACGTAACCTCCAGAAGAAAATCATCTCCAGCTGGTCTAAGCTCAGCGACAGAGCCGGCCAGGTGTGAGGTTCCACGTTCAGTCGTTAGCCCTGAAGAGGGAAAGAAAAGATAGAAAAGAATTCCCCACACAGGAGAGATCTGTCTCTTTCTGGTTTTGGTTCTGGAATGCCTGGGATTGCGTCTGGGACTTGCTTGTGTTCAGAAGTACCGGATCTCTTGGACCTCCTCCAGCTGGACTTACAGGCAGCTCTTTCCTTCTGCCGTGTGGGATCAAAGTGAGGAAGCTTGGGGAAAATCGTTCTTACTCATAACTCATCAGATCACATTTCCCTTCTTGATGAAAAACAAGAGTAAAGGGCTCAAATATTCTGTTTTGAGACTTTTTACAAAGGTGCATTGATCAGAATAGTGTGGCACTGGAGATCAATAGGCGAGACTTGAGAATTCAGAAATAAATTATGTATGGTTCTTGAATTTTCAACAAAGTTTCTGAGACAATTAATTGGGGGAAATAATATTTCAATAGATAGGCTGGAACAACTGAATATCTATTTTCAAAAGAATGAAGCTGGATTTTTACCTCATTCCATATATAAAAACTAAAAAGCTGGGGCCAGTGAAATGGCTCCGCCAGTAAGGGCTTTTGACATAAGCCTGACAACACGAGTTAAATTTTTAGAACTCAAATAGAAAGGAGAGAGAAAAGGAGAAAGCCAACTCCTTCATACAAATTGTCCTCTGACCTTCTACCCATGTGCTGAATACAAAGTGAGTTCAAGGCCAGCCTGGGCTTCATGAGATGCTGCCTCAAAATAAATTATAGCAGTAAGCTAAAGATGTAAGATTAATCAAAGACCTTTAAGAGCTGAAAGATACAAATTCTTAAAAATAAACCCAAAAACCCCATAAGATTTCCAAAGTATGAAACCAAAGCACAAGCAAAAAGAGAACAATAAATAAATTAGATTTCACCAAAATAAAATGGCATATGTGCTGCCAAGAACATCAAGACAGTAAAAAAAAAAAGAGTTCACAAAGAATTATCTAAATCTTAAACATAGAATTATCTAAATCTTAAACATTAAACATTATAATGATATACATAAACATTAAAAGCATAAACATTAAAATGATAATCAGAACTACAAAACGATAATATTTCACATTAAGATGGCTATAATTAAAAACAATGGACAATACTGAGCTGATTTGGATTGAAATATTAGAGCCCTAATACTCTATTGGTTACAATGTAAAATGATGCAACTCTTCTAGAGATGGGTTGGTGTTTCTTGATGAGGTTAAACAGAGCAATTTCACTACCAAGAACATACCAAAAAGAAATTAACACAGACAGACATCCATATACAGCAACACAGACACACAGCACACATACACAGACAGATAGACACACACACACACACACACACACACACACACACACACTTTCATAGCACCACAATAAAAAGTATAGATCAGCAGTGATAGCATATGCCCCTCAGGAGACTGAAACAGGAAGATGGAGAACTCAAGGACCACTTGAGTCACAATAGTGAGTCCTGTCACAAGGAAGCAAACAAGCGTAATCCTATGTGCTACATTGTTTACAATGACATCACAAACAAGATTATGTGTGAAGTATACATTTTGCTATAGGGTTACAATGGCGACAGCGTCATAAGGGAATAGGAATCTCTCAGCGCTTGTATAATCTCCTGGGACCTCTCTTATTTATGAATCTCGTTATTTGTATTTGACTAAGTAGGCTGCAGCTGTGTTGATGCTTTAAGAAACAGAACAATACATTGTTTTTATATGTGGAAAGAGTAATTAAGTAATTAGATCACATGATGAAGGAGGCTGGCTAGTCCAGAATCTGTAAGAGCAGGCTTGACACCGAGGGATAAGCCAAAGTTTTAGACAAGATCTGAAGGCAATTAGCTACAGAATTTAGTCTTGCTTAGAGAAGGTGAGACTTTTTTTTTTTTTCTTCAAGTTACACTTATCTGGGCTGGGGAGATGACTCAGCAGTTAAGAATGCTTGCTGCTCTTTCAGAGAACATAATTTTGGTTCCCAATACCCATGCTAGGCAACTCTCAACTATCTGTACTCCAGCTCCAAGTGACCTGATACTCTCTCCTACCCTCACTAGGCATCTGCAAACACATAGCACACACACAGATGGAGATCTGGCTGCCTTTGACTCTCAAGTACTATGATTAAAGATATGGGCCACCATTCCCAGCTTGCTGTCGATGTCTAGAGACAGGGTCTCACTATGTAGTCCTGGCCATCCTGAAACTCATCCAAGAGATCAGCCAGGCTGGCCTTAAACTCAAAAAGATTTGATTGCCTCTACCTCCCATTGCTAGATTTAAAGGCACACTCCACCACACTTGACAAAAAAATTTAATTATAGAAATTACACTTTTGTGTACATATGTGTGTGCACACTCACGTTTTCTTTTCTTTTTTTCCTTTTATTGAAAATAGAGTCTTTTCTCATACAATTTATCTTGGTTGTAGTTTCCCTTCCCTTTACTCCTCCCAGTTGCTCCCGATATCTCCTCCCCTTTGAATCCGCTCCCGTACTGTCTCTCATTAGAAAAGAATGGGCTTCTGAGAGATAACAATCAAACATGACAAAATGAAATGTAAGGCAGAATGAGACCATCACGTTGAAACCGGACAACGCAATCCAACACAAGGAAGAGTCACCAATGACCAACACAAGAATCAGAGAGCCACTCATTTATACACTCAGGAGCCTCATAAAAGATACCGAGCTGAAAGTTATAACACATATGCAGAGAACAAACCCCCGTGTAGGCTCTTGCTTGCTACTTCAGTCTCTGTGAGTTCATACGAACCTTGCCTAGTTCTGTTCTCCTGGCATCCTCCGTCCCCTCTGACCGATACACTCTTTCTGCTTCCTCTTCCACAGGCTTCTCTGAGCTCTGAGGGGAGGGATTTGACCAAGACATCTCATTTAGAGCTGTGTGTTCTGAGAGGTCCAAACTTTGAAATTTAATTCCTGGGGCAACATGACTGTGGTCCTGGTGTAGACAAAGAAGCGGGCAAGTTGAGACAGACCCGCCCTGCTGCAGAAAAGTAACCAGGCTTGCCGTTGAGAGTTACCATTGTCTGGCAAACCACCTAGCTAGATGGCCCCTAGCTGGTGACCAAGGCCACATGGTCCTGTTACTAAGAAATAAAAATCACAAGATGTGCTAATCGTTCCCCCTCTCTGACAGGAGCAGATATCCTCCAGATGGACGTACCAGGACCATTATGGCCTTGGTGCCTAAAATAAACGAAGGCTTGGAAATTCCCTGCTTGAGTTTTGCCCTTTAAAAACCCTGTTCCCTCAGACCTCAGGGCCGCATACCTCTCTGTTTCCACAGAGAGCTTGTGACCTGTACTAAACCCTCATGTGTTTATAGTGGAGACAATTCCTGTTGGTCTTTGGGGGGGGTCTGACGAACTAGGCATAACAGTTCCAATGACCTCCCATTTAGACTCTGTCTTACTTCAGGAGGAAGCTTTTCTGGTGATGGCTGAATAAGGCACTGATCTATGCGTATAGCAAAATATCATTAGAACTCTCTTTATTGCTACTTTTTCTTTTTAAGGCAACTAGTATATGGTTCTATGCTAGGTCTCTGGGCTATCTCGTTTCTGGTTCTTGGTCACCCAGACAGTGTCATGTATGAGTTCTATCTCATGGAATGGGCCTTAAGTCAAATCAGACTTAAGGGGTTGGCAGCTCCCACAAGTTCTGTGCTATATTTGCCCTCTAGTAGAGCAAAGTTTTTATGGCTGGAATGATGTTTACATTTCTCCTTTGGCAGCCTGCAGTATCTTCCCACACCAAAGACAGTAGAAACTAGGGGTAAAGGCTCCATGTAAGTACCAGCTTTTCTTCTCCATGTACATTTGAGTTGTGTGGGTGTTGCCCTTGGCAGTGGGGCCTCACTGTCGGTTTGAAGAGATCAACCCATTGTCTTAGCAACAGTCTGTGTTAGTGTAGTTTTTAAAAACTATTTTATTTGCATCTTTTATATTTTTTCTCCCTATCCCACCCCACCCCCTTCCAACCTTTCAACACCGGGTAGGAGAGAGAAAGGGTTTAGTGAAAGAGGGGGCGCAGTTCTCTTTCTTAGCTGCGTCCTGCTGGTCAGGGTCATTGGGTTCCTTGGAGCCAGTCCAATCCTCATTTCAGGAGATCTCCATCTTCTTGTCAACAGCAACTGGGAGCCACAGGGGGAAGCAGCAGCAGCTTTGTTTTTTTCTTGTAGCTCCTCCACAGTCTGGGCTTTAGCATTCATTTTCTTTTCAGAGTCCTCAGATTTAAAGTATCTGCAGCTGGCAAAGAGGTACTTTCAGAGCTGCATGAGGCAAATGGTTTGTTGCTGTGGACCATCTGAATCAGTCCCACATCCCACACCTGGGATCAAAACAAAAACATGTTTATAGCCACAAGTCTGTTTTTTGTTTGTTTTTATTTGTTTTTTTGTTTTTGTTTGTTTTTTTGTTTTTTTTTTTGGGGGGGGTGGATTTTCATGAGACCCTCTTGGCGAACAACTCAATTTAATTCAACCCCAGTCCTGCTACTAGAAGCCTTATTTAGTGATAGGAGATGGCTAGTTCAAACTCTGTTTTTCCTATTATTAGGAGACCCTACTAGGATTGCCTTCATAAATTTTAGGAACTTTTCATTCCACTAGATTTCAACACCATCCCTCAAATGCACTCAATTCCAGCTGTCTCTTCCCACATTCCCTTCCCCATTTCCATCTGATCCTCCCATTTGGTCCCCACCTACCCCCAGTCTACCTGGAAAACCTATTCTGTTTCTCCCTCACAGGGAGATCCTTTTTTCCCCCACCCAAAGTTTCTTCCTCTATACCTAACCTCTTTGGGTTATGGACTGTAGGTTGGTTATCATTTATTTAATTCTAATATCCACTTATAAGTGCATAGATACCATATTCATCTTTTTAGTTCTGAGAAACCTCACTCAGAATGTTTTTTTCCTAGTTCCATCCATTTGCCTGCAAATCTCATGATGTGATTGGTTTTAACAGGTGTGTAATACTCTGTTGTGTAAATGTAGCACATTTTCTCTTCAGTTGTGGGATATAGCACCCTTTTAAAAACTATTTTATTTATGTTTCTTATCTTTTCTTCCTCCTTTCTCCATGCAATTCCTTCCAACACCCCAACACCGGGTAGAAGAGAAAGAATTAGTGGGGAGAGGAGGCACAGTTATCTTAGCTGCTTCCTGCTGGTTAGGGTCATCAGGTTCCTTGTGAAAAGTCTAATCTTCATTTCAGGATATCTCCAACTTCTTCTCATCAAACGGCATCAACCACAAGCAGGAGCAGTTGGGGGAAAGCATCAGCAGCCTTCTTTTTTCTCAGAGCTCTCTTTTTCTCTCTGGGCCTTAGCATTTATTCTCTTTCCAGAGTCCTCAGATTTAAACTATCTGCAGCTGGCCAAGGGCACCTCTCAGAGCCTGTATCAGGGAAATAATTTGCTGCCGTAGACAATCTGAATGCCACACCTGGAATTAAAACAAAAACATGTTTACATTTACAACAATGAGACATTTAGATTGTTTCCAGGTTCTCAGGATTATGAGCAAATCAGCAGTGAACATAAATGAGCAGATGTCTTTGTCGTATGACGGAATGTCCTTTGGCTATATGTTCAAGAGTGGTATAACTGGATCTTGATGTAGATCGATTGACAATTTTTTAAGAAACTGTCATATTGATTTTCATAGTGGCTATATTATTTTGCATTCACACCAGCGATAAATGAGTGTTCCCCTTATCTCACAATCCCACCAGCATAAGCTGTCACTTGTATTATTGATTTTAGCCAATCTGACAAGTGTACAGGGGAATCTTGAAGTAGTTTTGATTTGCCTTTCCCTGATGGCAAAGAATGTTGAACATTTTAAAAAAGTGTTTCTCAGCCATTTAAGTTTGCTCTGTTGAGAATTCTGTTTAAATTTGCACCCCGTTTTTTTAAATTGGATTATTTGATTTTATGATATCTGGTTCCTTAGGTATTAGTCCTCTATCAAAAGTGGAGTTGGTAAAAACTTTTCTCATTCTGTAGGCTGTTCCTTTGCCTGAATGCCAGTGTCATTTGCCTTACAGAAGCTTTTCAGTTTCATGAGGTCCCATTTATCGATTGCTGATCTTAGTGCCTGGCTATCGGTTCGGAAAGTCTTCTCCTGTGCCAATGAAGTCAAGGCTCTTCCCCACTTTCTGTTCTATCAGGTTCAGTGTATCTGATCCATTTGGAGTTGGGTTTTGTGCAGGGTGATAAGTACGATATAATCGCATTCTTCTACATGCAGCCGTCCAGTACCACTTGTTGAAGATGTGCCTTTTTTCCAAGCACACTCATGTTTTTATGTGTGTGTGCCCAAGTGTGCAAACACATGAATATGGAGCTCATAGGACAACTTGGGGGAGTCAATTTTCTCCTTCCACCAGGTGGGTCTAAGGGATTAAATTCAGGTCATCAGGGTTGGCAGCAAGTACCTTTAAAGATGAGCCTTATTTTCTCTCCTGGTCTCCAACCGATTAGATAAGGCTCACCCCCATTACCCAAAATACTCTTACAGGAACATCCAGCCCCCTGACATATCTCTGTGTTCTTCTTTTAGCAGTAAAGGTTTTTTGCTATTGGTGTCATAGTCACTGTTCTATTGCTGTGAAGAGATACCATGACCAAGGCAACTCTAATATAAGAAAGCATTTAATTGGGAGGTTGCTCACAGTTCCAAAGGGTTAGACCACTATTATAATGGCAAGGAACATGGAGGCACACAGACAGGCATGAGAATTTCACATCTGGTCAGGAGGCAGCAGGCAGAGATAGAGGAGAGAGAGAGGACTGGAAGAATGACTCGGGCTTTTGAAACCTCAAAGCTCACCCTCAGGGATCTATGCCCTCCAACAAGGCCACATCTCCTAATCCTTCCCAACAGTTCACTCACTGAAGTCTAAGCATGCAAATATATGACCCTATGGAGAACATCCTTATTCAACCCACCACGGATGATATATGTTCTATGGTATTCATTTCTGTGATAATAATATTAGGGTCTGTGAATCACCCAAGAAAGATGCCAGACTCAGATGGAATGCAAAAACAAAGTGTTTATTCTGCAGAGAATTCCAGCATGCTGGGGTCACCACCTTCTCAACATGGTGGCAACTCTGAGGGGACCCGATAGGCTCCTTTTAAAGCCAGAAAGGGGAATTGCTACTGTGGGTATGTGACCTTGATTGGGATTGTCTAGTGTCCGTGGAGGCTACATGACTCTGATTGGGACTGGCTGACTCCTTGGAATTAAGTCCTCTCACTCCCCCCTCAAGTCAGATTCCTTTTCAAATCCTTGAGATGTGGCCAAGGGCTGGTATTGTTACTTTAACACCCATGAATTGGACTATGTAGACCTGATCATTAACAATTGTTTTTTTGTTTTTTTTTTTTATAATGCTAGACATAATCATGCAAGGGCACAAAGCATGACCAAGAGAAACAGAACTAATGGTCGATTGTCTGGCATGTCAATAGGAAGCCATTTGTCTCTTATGACAGAGTTTCTTTTGACTTAGCATTTCAACTGTTAGGTAGGACAATGGGCAACATATTCTCTTATGTAACTTCTTCAAGCCAACATTAGGCCTAGAAAAGCTGAAAGGTTAGTCAAAGGCTAGGCAATGGGCCACTTATCAGAAACATTTGATTAGCAATCCAGTTGAAAAGACGGGGGCAATCAGATTGGCTGGACTGGTTTATATCAGCTTCCAGCAAGTTTAGAACACAGAAGCTTGCAATCCACAGGCAATCCCTGAAGGGAGTCTGTCAACCAGGTAAAAATCTGCTGAGACAAATATAAACTAGGGACAGAAGTTGAAATT